CGTCAGATTATCAGATATTAAGAGTTATCAGATATTAAAGACAGTCTAATACTCTATAATACTCTAATGAGGGTTAGTTGACATCAGTCAAACATCAGATCATCAGAATAAAGAGTTATCAGATATTAAAGACAGTCTAATACTCTATAATACTCTAATGAGGGTTAGTTGACATCAGTTAAACATCAGATCATCAGAATAAAGAGTTATCAGATATTAAAGACAGTCTAATACTCTATAATACTCTAATGAGAGTTAGTTGACATCAGTCAAACGTCGGATCATCAAAATAAAGAGTTATCAGATATTAAAGACAGTAATAATACTCTATAATACTCTAATGAGGGTTAGTTGACATCAGTCAAACATCAGATCATCAAAATAAAGAGTTATCAGATATTAAAGACAGTCTAATACTCTATAATACTCTAATGAGGGTTAGTTGACATCAGTCAAACGTCAGATCATCAGAATAAAGAGTTATCAGATATTAAAGACAGTCTAATACTCTATAATACTCTAATGAGAGTTAGTTGACATCAGTCAAACGTCGGATCATCAAAATAAAGAGTTATCAGATATTAAAGACAGTAATAATACTCTATAATACTCTAATGAGAGTTAGTTAACATCAGTCAAACGTCAGATCATCAAAATAAAGAGTTATCAGATATTAAAGACAGTCTAATACTATATAATACTCTAATGAGGGTTAGTTGACATCAGTCAAACATCAGATCATCAGAATAAAGAGTTATCAGATATTAAAGACAGTCTAATACTCTATAATACTCTAATGAGGGTTAGTTGACATCAGTCAAACGTCAGATCATCAGAATAAAGAGTTATCAGATATTAAAGACAGTTTAATACTCTATAATACTCTAAAGAGAGTTAGTTGACATAAGTCAAACGTCAGATCATCAAAATATAGAGTTATCAGATATTAAAGACAGTAATAATACTCTATAATACTCTAATGAGAGTTAGTTGACATCAGTCAAACGTCAGATCATCAGAATAAAGAGTTATCAGATATTAAAGACAGTAATAATACTCTATAATACTCTAATGAGGGTTAGTTGACATCAGTCAAACGTCAGATCATCAGAATAAAGAGTTATCAGATATTAAAGACAGTCTAATACTATATAATACTCGAATGAGGGTTAGTTGACATCAGTCAAACGTCGAATCATCAAAATAAAGTGTTATCAGATATTAAAGACAGTCTAATAATACTCTATAATACTCTAATGAGGGTTAGTTGACATCAGTTAAACATCAGATCATCAGAATAAAGAGTTATCAGATATTAAAGACAGTCTAATACTATATAATACTCTAATGAGGGTTAGTTGACATCAGTCAAACGTCGAATCATCAGAATAAAGAGTTATCAGATATTAAAGACAGTAATAATACTCTATAATACTCTAATGAGGGTTAGTTGACATCAGTCAAACGTCAGATCATCAGAATATAGAGTTATCAGATATTAAAGACAGTATATTAATACTCTATAATACTCTAATGAGAGTTAGTTGACATCAGTCAAACGTCAGATCATCAGAATAAAGAGTTATCAGATATTAAAGACAGTAATAATACTCTATAATACTCTAATGAGAGTTAGTTGACATCAGTCAAACGTCAGATCATCAGAATAAAGAGTTATCAGATATTAAAGACAGTCTAATACTATATAATACTCGAATGAGGGTTAGTTGACATCAGTCAAACGTCGAATCATCAAAATAAAGTGTTATCAGATATTAAAGACAGTCTAATAATACTCTATAATACTCTAATGAGGGTTAGTTGACATCAGTCAAACGTCAGATCATCAGAATAAAGAGTTATCAGATATTAAAGACAGTCTAATACTATATAATACTCGAATGAGGGTTAGTTGACATCAGTCAAACGTCGAATCATCAGAATAAAGAGTTATCAGATATTAAAGACAGTAATAATACTCTATAATACTCTAATGAGGGTTAGTTAACATCAGTCAAACGTCAGATCATCAAAAAAGAGTTATCAGATATTAAAGACAGTCTAATAATACTCTATAATACTCTAATGAGAGTTAGTTGACATCAGTCAAACATCAGATCATCAGAATAAAGAGTTATCAGATATTAAAGACAGTCTAATACTACTCTAAAATACTCTAATGAGAGTTAATTGACATCAGTCAAACGTCAGATCATCAAAATAAAGAGTTATCAGATATTAAAGACAGTCTAATAATACTCTATAATACTCTAATGAGGGTTAGTTGACATAAGTCAAACGTCAGATCATCAAAATAAAGAGTTATCAGATATTAAAGACAGTCTAATAATACTCTAAATACTCTAATGAGAGTTAGTTGACATCAGTCAAACGTCAGATCATCAGAATAAAGAGTTATCAGATATTAAAGACAGTCTATAATACTCTATAATACTCTAATGAGGGTTAGTTGACATCAGTCAAACGTCGGATCATCAAAATAAAGTGTTATCAGATATTAAAGACAGTATTAATACTCTATAATACTCTAATGAGAGTTAGTTGACATCAGTCAAACGTCAGATTATAAGATATTAAGAGTTATCAGATATTAAAGACAGTCTAATACTCTATAATACTCTAATGAGGGTTAGTTGACATCAGTCAAACATCAGATCATCAGAATAAAGAGTTATCAGATATTAAAGACAGTCTAATACTCTATAATACTCTAATGAGGGTTAGTTGACATCAGTTAAACATCAGATCATCAGAATAAAGAGTTATCAGATATTAAAGACAGTCTAATACTCTATAATACTCTAATGAGAGTTAGTTGACATCAGTCAAACGTCGGATCATCAAAATAAAGAGTTATCAGATATTAAAGACAGTCTAATAATACTCTAATGAGAGTTAGTTGACATCAGTCAAACGTCAGATCATCAGATATTAAGAGTTATCAGATATTAAAGACAGTCTAATACTCTATAATACTCTAATGAGGGTTAGTTGACATCAGTCAAACGTCAGATCATCAAATAAAGAGTTATCAGATATTAAAGACAGTCTAATACTCTATAATACTCTAATGAGAGTTAGTTGACATCAGTCAAACGTCGGATCATCAAAATAAAGAGTTATCAGATATTAAAGACAGTAATAATACTCTATAATACTCTAATGAGAGTTAGTTGACATCAGTCAAACATCAGATCATCAGAATAAAGCGTTGTGTTTTACAGTGTATTTTAGGAACAGGAATAAGACGAGTGTGTTTGCTGTAAAGCCTGAGTGCTTCTGTAGTGAGGTCCCGGTTCTGGGATGGTGTCCTGCTGTTTGGGTTTCCTCCTCGGGGCAGCAGTGAGTAAATGAGACCCCCCGCCTCTCTACATCCCCGTATCGGCCACCTCATCCCCCCCCCCCCCCTCTCTCTCTCTCTCCCCCTCCGTCTCTTCCCTCTCTCCTCCGCTCACACACTGAGACATTTTTCCACATTGGCCGGATTAGGAACACTTTCACTTAGATCTATGTGGTCGCCCCCACAGACAAAGAAACACTTGGAGACAGGATTAGTAGGATTAAAAAGGATTCACATATGTCCAGTTCAAGCAATTGGTATTCAAAGCTTTACACTTTCAAATGCCACCAAGAGAGAGTAAAGCAGTCCCGAGCTTTTCTTTGCATTGCAGCACCTTTATGAGAAACGATTCCCTTTCAACTTCCTCTGTGGTGCCGTGAATTCATGTTTTCACTCTTTTTGTGCAGGGATTTTATTGCTGTGGAAAACCAGCGAGACGATGAGAGGAAGCACTGTTTTTATCCTGCAAAAACTTTCTCATCTTTCTTCCATTTCTGTGATGTTCAGATCAGTTTAGACTTTTGTTTTACTTTGTACACAGAAATGTTGATTGTTTTCATAATTATGAGACAAGGCTTGACTTTGTTTGTTTCATATAAACCAGATGATAATGAAGATATGAGTAATGATCATCTGCCAATGAAAAATTATTTAATAAGCTAAACATATTTCATATTTATCTTACCAATATATAAATGATATTTGCTCTGCTTGTAATGCACGACAAAATTAAATCAAAAGATTTTGTAATTATGCATTTTCAGTGGGCATAAATCAGTAAAAGCATTTTTTCATATACTAATTAAACATGTCAGACAGCATTTACAGCGAATACTCAGTGCTAAATCTATATCTGTTAATATTAATCCTAATCATAATCATAATCAGAAATTTACATAAACTCAAGGACAATATTAATTAGTTGCTATAACACATATAGATTCATAATAAAGTTACAGAATTTTGTCATAGATAATAGGCTAAAGTAAGTTTAAAATCGACTAAATACTGAATTCTGTTTTCATTCAGTTCAGGTGATTATAATTGACATTGTTTTATTATTATTATTAAATTTAGAACTAATTTGTTTATCTTTACCTTGTTTTTAAAGAAATGTAATTGCACAGACACACCAAAGCAATTATGAAAACTAATTATGAAATTAACAAAATATATACTGCATTAAAAAAATGACAATATCCATTCAGGATTAATCTTTGTAACACACATACACATCTAATCTGTAGAATCATACTTAATCTAATCATGCTTGTTAATATTATTTTAGATGCACGAAAAAAAATATAATAACAAAATATTCCTATCCTATCACGCGCATACCAACAAACACAGTGTGCCTATTTTGTGATTGCATACATAATCAGTGAATGGTGCAAGGTGTGTTGTGACTGACCCGGCATCGGTTCTTAAGTGTGGAGAAGTATTTGCAAAGTTTCGGAGGCTCCCGGGCTGAAGTGTCCCCCCATGGCGTCCTTACAATGAATATGAATAGATGCTCCTCTGGTCAATGGGACAGTCAAAGCACACCGCTCCAGATAATGGGGACGTCATCCTAACAAGGCCGTTATGAATAGAGGGGCTCCTTTTGTTTGGCCCCTGTCGAGCAGCGCTATAAATACTGAGTCCTGTGATGCGACTCCACAGATCGAGAGAGTTCATCAGCGAGAGAGATCAAAACCAGGCGACACGGCCTCGGTCGACACAGAGAGAGAGAGAGAGAGAGAGACACAGACACATACAGAGAGCGAGAGAGAAGAGCAAACCAGGCGACACGGCCTCGGTCGAGAGACACAGACACACACACAGAGGGAGAGAGAGGCTCCGGTGGGATAAATCAGGTGATCAAGCAGGAGTGACTTGAAATAAAAACAAGACAAGAGAAAGACAACCTCCTACACAAGCTCAGACATAAAAAAATGAATTCGGACACGAGCTCCAGCAGAGCCTCCTCTCCAGACATGGATGAGATGTTCCTCCGCGAACACCACCTCCTCCACCCGCAGGACGCGCGCCTGAACTCCGTGTCCTCCACGCAGAACGAGCTGCTCCAGAAGATGAGCAGCGAACACCTGTCCAAATCGCCCTCCGGCAGCAAGTACAAGCTGAAGAAGCAAGTCACCGAGCAGGAGGTCCAGCAACTGCGCCTGAAGATCAACGGGCGCGAGCGCAAGCGCATGCACGACCTGAACCTGGCGATGGACGGGCTCCGGGAGGTCATGCCGTACGCGCACGGGCCGTCCGTGAGGAAGCTCTCCAAGATCGCCACCCTCCTGCTGGCCAGAAACTACATCTTAATGCTGACCAGCTCCCTGGACGAGATGAAGCGGCTCGTGGGCGAGATTTACGGAGGACATCACTCGGCGTTTCACTGCGGGACGGTGAGCCACGGCGGCGCGCATTCCGCGAGCACGGCACACCAGGTGCATCACCCGCTCCTCGGGAGCGCGCTGTCCTCTTCCACCTCCTCGACGCTTTCGACCAGTTTACCGGGACTTACATCCATCAGGGCCCCGCACTCTCTGATGAAGAGCACCCCCGCGCCCCCTCTGCACCTCGGGGGCAGTTTCCAGCACTGGTCGGGCCTGCCGTGCCCCTGCACTATCTGCCAGGTGCCTCCACCCCCGCACCTGCCCATCACCTCCACGGGACTCACGAGGCTTTCCACGGAAAACAAGGACGTGATGAAGTGAAGTGTGCATTGTGGACTGGACTTTGCATGCTCTGTCTGTCTGTCTGTTTGGTTGTTTGATTGTTTTAGCCCTCCTTACAAATACACTACTTCGTCCTTGTAACAAGGATCTCATTGATTGCTTTGTAAGGTTATGGAGTATGTGCTGCATAACGCACTGTAAATAACGTCAGGGGCCGCGCGAGGCTCCGTGTACATTCACTGTAAATGAGAGTAAATTGTTCTATTCGAAATGGAATCTTATGTGTTTGAAGTTGCCCTGGAAACGCGAGCACTCCCCTTGCGCGAGCTTACTTTGGTAACCAGATTGTCCGCCAAAAATGAACCTAGGCTACATTGATGTGGGATCTGCTGTGTGTGTGCTTCAGCGTTACAAATCTCGGTAACACTTTATTTTAAGGTGTCTTTATAACAGTGACACATGTAAGTATTGAGTAATATTAACTATGGGATTACGGTCTGGTTTGGTTTAGAGTTAGATTCATTTATAGTAACTACATGTAAAGACGTTGTAAAATAAAGTGTTACCCATCTCTATGCGTTTTGGCGCAGAATGTGTCTATCATGGTAAAGTTGCGTAAGGCTACCTGTTGATCATGTGATGTGATGATGAGTCGCGTGCATGTGTCTTTCGGCAAAGGGCGTGAAAAGACGAAACCCACATGTTCCTTGTAACAAGGATTGTGAAATGGCATTTCAGATGGAAACTGTACGACTGTGGATTTAGTTCGCATTAGAGTGTTGTTCTGATGATGATGATGATATCTCTCTTTCGATTATTTGATTCATCCATTGTCTGCCCGAGTAATAGCTGAACCTTCAGTGTGTCGTATATCTTTATTTGAAACTCTTCAGCATGAGCATGATCCTTTTTCCTGGGAAAATTTTGTTATTCCAGAGAGATTGCCGTGGTCTTTATTTTTGTACATTCTTGTTGACAAATGAGATATTTATTATTGCCCAGTGTTCCTGGATGAAATTTCAATAAAACGTTGCTGTAAAAAAAGAAAAAAAAAGATTGTTTTGTTTTGTATATTTTGTAACGTGTTGTGCGTATTACATGTATTGTGCATTATAGTTATTACAACTGCATTTGACAATAATAGCTAATGATCAGTCCGCTCCTACATATTTAAAAATATTATTGAATATAGAGATAATTATCTGTTTGCAAAATAAAAAGCAATTTAATATAGGCCTACAAAAAAAAAGTTTCAAAATATAATTCGTCACAGACAGAAATCATTTCCTTGGCGCTCAACATATAAATTAATTAACACTTTATTTTGCAGTGTCATTGTTATGTTACATAGTAATAAATATAAAAAAATGCACAATTACATGCAACTAACCCTAAAACAAACCTAATATTAATCCAAAACCCCATTGTATACGTAGTTAATTAATATTACTCAAATGTATATTTACATGCAAGCATTAATTCCTATTTTAATTAAAAAAGAAATAAAAATGAAACAAAGAAAGCAAATAAAAAAGACGGAATGTGCTAAAACATGTAATGTGTGCAAGCTATAAAACGTGCCGTCTGAATGTGAACGAAAATTACAAAATACGGTTTCAATGATAGCAACAAAATAAAAATCACACGGTACTTTTACTCATATTTCTTTCTGAGAGTTGTGACAGCAAAATGAATTTCATGAGAAAATCTTTTTCACTGGTGTGATGATTAAAAAACGAGCAGCCTATAGAAAAAACAGGCTGTAATGTTTTTAGCCATTAATAAGAAGAACAGTTTTAACATAATAATAATAATCATAAGCTGTTATGTTTTATATTTTTATTGTGAGGCACACGATGCTTTATTTGGTTAATCTATTCTGTTAAGTTTCTTTAATGACGATTGCTGAATGGAAATCTTGGTAGAAATGATAATATTTCCTATTTATCAGCGGCAGAAGTAAATCATAAAGTTGCACTGGACACATATGAAACACAAAGCTAGTCCCTCGGGTGCTTTCACAGACAGCAGCTGAATGTATGTTTGTAGAGATTACAAGTTAATTGTTCATGTGGGAATGGGAGAAGAAAACATCAGAGAGCGCGTGCGGATTACAGGAGCCTAAATGCAGAAGATTAGATATTCAGGACTCTATTCTTGAGGGATGTAAATGAGGCGAAGGATTAAAAAGCTCTTTGTAACTAACTCGTTGAGGGGCTCAAGCCCCTTTTTAGACAAGTAACAAGAAGAGCCTGGGCGAGCTAGTTTTACACTTTGTTTTTAGGAACTACAAACGGTGTGTGAACACTGGCCAGTGCTCGAGGCAGATGGAGGGACCGCGGCGCGCGCTTGAGAAACGCCGCGTTGGCAATGGGCATTTGCGTAATTGGATTCGTACTACTGTGCAAAGCATTCATTTATCCACTGATTTTCAGAATCAGCGAATTATAATTATTTGAAGTTAAAGTTAAGGAACTGTGTTCTAGCATAGATCGCTTGATTATTAGAGTTCGTGTTACAATAAGTTCGCAATTCCTGAACGAAATAGCACAGCTTGAAATAATGCAGAAGTTTGTTTTTGTTTTTTGGATAGATTTGGTTTTATGTAAATTGTAACATTTTTTTCTGCTCCCTAATCACTTTTATAGATGGTGGAATATAATATATTTATTTATCACAATTCAGTAGCCTATAAAACAGAGAAAGAAGGCCAGATTCATCAAGAGCTTCCATGTTGAACTCCACGTGAAGTAAGTCAAGGAGAATAATGTAACAGTACATGTAAAAAAACATTTCGATGTTGACCATCTTCATGTATTCTGGAGTTGCCCAAAATATTACCCTTCTGGAATATGGGTTTGATGGAGATCCAAAAGATTTTATGATATGAAAGAGATTTCACAACATTGTATTTTGGTAACATTGCGCACACTGTGTTGTAAGAGATGTATTGTTAATATAGTAGGCTATGTAAGAAGAGTAGGCTATTACAAGTCAGGACAACTCCTAACTTGGTGAATGGAAATTGTTAAAGAAATATAGGCTACAATATGGAAGATTTGACTTTTGTTTTTAGACTTAAAAAAGACCTGTTTCTAAAATACTGGAAGAAATGGATTTATTGGATTGGTAATGGATTTAGACAGAATATGACTGTACAGTACTGAACCTATGTGAAATACTTGCCCCAAAATAACTTATTTCTATTGCTTCCCTCCCCCTTTCCCATTTTCCCCTAATGTTGTATATGTCATTTTCTTGAAACATCATCAATAAAAAATAGCCTACAGTAAAATATAGATATATTTGAAACCCTTCGAACAGACAAGGGTGTATTTTTTTACGAGTTGAGCTAACTACGATCATTGTGTTGAATTCGTATACACTATTTGATGATTCAACCGACGTTGACCAATCAGGGTTAGTTTCAGAAAATTGTTCTAAATCATTCACATAGGCCTAACGCAAGAATGAAAATATCAAACAATCTTTAAATGAGGCGTTTAGAAAAGCATTTTACATTTTCTAAAAATATTAGTGATACCATGTTTTTGGTGGGGAAAATAGCCATCCCAATAAATGTCTCTTTTTATAGTTATAAGGCTATCTGGCTATATGATTCTAGGTCATTTTATCATCCACCACGACCTGAGGCTTTAACAAAGTTGGCATGAAATGGAAGAGTTTCTTCTCTACTGTTGATTTAGTAGACTTGATTTTGTCCACATTTGATTGGATGGTTGTTGTTTGCTATTGGTCGTTCTCATTTGAGTGACAGATTGTCCCGCCCATGCACCGTTGCATCAGCCCGATGCCCGATCTCAAGAAAGTTCGTATCTATAGCACGAATGTCTTTTCTCGTGGCATATACACCAAAAACAGTTTTTACGTGTGTATGGTACGCTTTTTTTAGCGTGCATATGATATGCACTTTTTGTCGTATAATACGCACGAACTCCCCACCCCCCTCCCCCCTTAGCATAAGCATGCAAAAACCATTTTTGGCGTATAAATGCCACGAGAAATGACATTCGTGGTATAGATAGGCTACGCATCTTCATGAGACTGTGTTGAGACTGTGTTGTGTCATCAGATAAGGTAGGGGAAGTTATTTTGATTCAAGATTATGAGGGCACATTAATTTAAAAAAAGTAACAATGTGCACAGATAAATCATTTAAATACTGCAATATTTATTAATAATCTGGTGACTTTGCAAACAGTTATGTGGCAAAGGTAGCGTTACTACAGTATTAGCAAAGTCTATCTCTTGCTTCTCGATTGTTTTGTCTTCCAAAAAGTGGCTAAAAGCTGCAGGCTAGCGATGGAAAGCAGCATGCGGTAACTATGGTGCGCTTCTGGAGTCAGAATCTGTCATTTGTCAAAGTCTGTGTTTATGTGTTATGTCTTCCAAAAAAGCATCTGTGAGACCGCTGATGTAGCCAATGAGAGCTCTGCGCAAAGCAATTCTCACACACTCGCTCGAAAGGAAATTAAACGCCTCATGGTATTTTTCGCTCCATGCCTCTCCCTTTGTTTCCTTTAATTACAGTTTGGTGGTTAATAAACTCCTTTCCTGCTGGTGCTTCATTAACCATTCTGATTGTTATGATAAGATGTTTGTTTGCAGCAAGTTGAGATAGTTTTCCAATGTTCGGGTTAACGAAACTCGGCTCAGCTGCTCATTTGTATAACTATGTGCTTAACCATGTGATATATACTTTGTTGGTGAATTTAAAGTATGTGCATTAATTAACATTTTTAGTTACACTGTTGACTCTACCTATTGACCCTAACTCAAAAAACGTTAAACCTATAACCCTAGACAACCAAAAGAACAAATTGTCTGCACACTTGAGTCCTTCAAGCCAAATTTAATGCCAAGCTTTCGGTGATACAACCATCCTCAGGGCATACACAAACAAAATGTTACCTTCCATTTGACTATGTTCCACTAGGACAATCAACAGTGATAACCCACACCTGCAGAGGCTAGGTAGGGAGAGTTGTAGTCCACTGGTGGGAGTTGTAGTTTTTTAAGGTGATGAACCCTAACTTCACTTAAGTGAAGAAGTGAAAAAATGAAAAATACAAGAAACAGACGTGAATATATACAAAAAGTATACACAAATATAGGTACATATACAAATATATCCACACATTCATTCCTGCTTACAATATAAGTACATGGAGACTGCAAAAACATCAGAAACACCGTCATAAACTGCAGTATTCAAGACTTAAAGAAGGAACAAAAAATCAATACAGCTATGACTAAAGCATGACACTCATGTCAAAGTCCACATTTAAACCTTTAGGATGTAAGGTGTCCAAGGTATGGATCCAGTAAAGTTCCCTTTGGCATAGTACGTTATCAGTACCTATACCTATAACCCTAACCACCTAAACCTACCTCAAACTCATTAGCATTAAATGTGTGAATTTTCCAGACCAAAGATTTGAACTCAGACTTTACCTGTTGAAAAATCCTTGCGCCCATTTACTCAACTGCAAGTAGCACAGACGCTTCAGTCCACTAAGGCAGCAGATTGCCAGCCGTAAACTCGGAGGGGTCAAGCGGGGTTGAAAGAGACTCCCGAGCTCCCGGGTAATTTCCCTGCGGCCGCTGTCCAAAAGACAGCTACGCTAAGTGGAGGCCTTTCATTCCACACATGACAAATGGGTAGTCCTCGTCAGTGGACACACCTGTTACTGGAAACACTTGAGATTTTACACTTTCGAGAGTGGCCTTATTACCAATCCGACCGCTCAAAGGTCTCGAACAATGGACGCGGCCGCTAACAATGCTCCAGGCCCAGGGCTAAAGAGAGTCCCGTCAAAGCCAGGCTTGTGCCGGGCGACACCGGGGGCTGCAATTGAAAATAAATTTCAGTTGAATAAGGGCATGGGGCACATCGGAGGAACCCGCAAGCTTCATCTAGAACAAAAGCAGTTGAGGGGATAAGTTATTGACTCTGCTGACAGGATGAATGCAGTTCATTATGCCTGCCAGTTACTCCAGTCCATGTCCCGGGCTGAATTAGGTGGCAGGTGCATGAGCCATTTTGCGCTGCCCCCGGGGAATGCCTAAGGCCTGTCATCAGCTGA